TCAGATTCATCAGGGCCAGTCTCACAGTGTGAGCCCTGCTGGGCGGGCGGGAAGGTGCTCTCCGGAGCACCAGGCATCAGCTCGGGGACAAGAGTCCTGGCTGCGCAGAACAGACGCCTGCTCCACACTCAGAGCCGCACTTGCTAAGAGAAAAGTGACGGCAGGTGTACAGGCGAAGGAAAGCCACGCTCTCTGGCTCGGTGGCTCGGCAACGTCCTGCCACCAAGAAAAGGTCGAGGGTTCAATGTTTCTCTCTCACATCAATGTTTCTCTTTCCTCCCTCCTTCCCTCCCTCTAAAAGAAAATCAGAATCAGCCAGGATTTAAAAAAAAAAAAAAAACACAAAAAACTACACCTTCGTTCTGAGATTCTTTACCCGCCCCGCCCCCCGAGACTGACAGGAAAGCCCACAGATGCAAGGCCCCGCCCGGCGGCCGCGCTCGAGGAAGCTGGTCAGTGCTCCTGAGGGCTCTGCTCTGGGGAAGTCCAGGGAGGTAAAGCCATCACTGATGATACTGAGCGCTGTCCCAGAACAGCTGACAGACACACTGACGTTTACAGTCATTTGTCTCCCACTTTTCTATTCTTTTAAACTATCTATTGGACACGATTGAAACACACAAAGTGCTTGTCTCTAGACTCTGACATGGAAGCTATAAAAGGTCAATTCAGGCAAAAGCATCCATGTGACAGATGGCTCCGGCTAACGGGAAACCAGACTGAACTGTATTTGTCTTCCTGGGAAAGGAAGCAAGACTAGGGGTGGGGAGACACAGAATTCGAAATCTCAAAGGTGCTGGAGGAGGGAGTGATTTTCTTTATAAAGAAGATACACGAGTCTAAACCGACCCCAAGGTTCTCAGGCCATCAAAACATTCCTAAACCCAATACTGAAATCTGGGATCCACCCTAGCCGGTTGGGCTCAGTGGATAGCGCGTCGGCCTGTAGACCACAGGGTCCCAGGTTTGATTCCGGTCAAGGGCACATATCTTGGTGGCAGGTTCCTTCCAACCTAAGTCCCCCTGTCCTTCCCCACCCTCCCATGCAAGAGGCAACCAATTGATGTGCTTCTCTCACATCGATGTTTCTGTCTTTTCCTCTCTCTCCTACTCTCCCTAAAAATCAATGGAAAAATATCCTTGGGTGAGAATTAACTAAAAAAAAAAAAAAAAAGAAAGAAATAAAAGAAACCCTGGCATCCTAGGCACCCAGTTTCTGTTAACAATGGCCTTGTTTTCTCCAGTAGTGAAAAATAAACAAAGACCAAAAACAGGTAATGCAATTCAATGTCAAGATAGCAAAAGTCAGCCCTGGCCATTTTGGCTCAGTGGACAGAGCGTCGGCCCGTGGACTGAAGGTCCCAGATTTGATTCTGGTCAAGGGCACGTACTTCAGTTGCAGGCTCAATCCCTGGCCGTGGTTGGGGTCGAGTGCAGGAGGCAACCAATTGGTGTCTCTCTCACATCAATGTCTCTCTCTCTGTCTTTCCACCTCCCTTCCACTGTCTCTAAGAATCAATAGAAAATATTCTCGGGTGAGGATGAACAACAACAAAGATACAAAAGTCAGTGTATTTTGAAACCAGCCACACCTCACTCTGGGCTGACAGGAATGTCAGACTGAAAGCAGCAACCATGTTCCTCTGGCTCACAATGGAATCCCTGAGCCTGCAACAGTGCCTGAGCCAGGAGGCACCACATCTTTGTCTAGACCAACGGTTCTCAACCTGTGGGTCACGACTCCTTTGGCGGTCGAACGACCCTTTCACAGGGGTCGCCTAAGACCATCCTGCATATCAGATATTTACATTACAATTCATAACAGTAGCAACATTACAGTTATGAAGTAGCAACGAAAATAATTTTATGGTTGGGTCACAACATGAGGAACTGTATTTAAAGGGCCAGAAGGTTGAGAACCACTGGTCTAGGAAATATGTCTTCCATGCCAGATGGATGGCCTGGCTTCAGGGGTCTCTTGTAGTAACAACCCTCTGAAAACTGTCAGGCCTAACACTGCTCAGCTCTGTCCCCAGCAGAGCTACCCAGGAACCCCCTGAGCAAAGGCCCAGCACAAGTAACTCTCAGAACAGTACTGAACCCAGACAACGAAGGAGAGAGCCCTCCCAGCCTCTCCACTCCCTTCACCCGGGAAAGGCCCGAATCTCAATGAACTTACCAAGTGTCGGATCCCGTTCCAGGTGTGATACATGAGAGGGAAGGCGAGCGCAAACTTGGCTGAATGGATCAGCACCGGCCCCAGACTCAAGGACTTCACCAGTTCCAGATGAGACTCAAAGTTCCCAGGGAGCAACAGGGCCGACAAGCCAAAAAGAGAGACCCCTGAGGAGACAACCACGAGAGCCCATCACAGCTGCCCACCAGCCACCACCAAGGTGACGTCTGAGCTGGCTCTGACAGCACCCAACAAGTTGGAGCACCTGCGTCCAGAGCACAGCTCGTTCACAGCTCCATTCCCCTGCACACCTACTGTTCGGCACCGTGTCTGCTTTTCCTAGTCACTCCTTTTATTGCTATCTGTTCATCATGCTAATTTACCCTTTCCGTCTCCCTCAGTTCTCACCTGCCGTTCTCAAGGAATTTACCTAGTCTCATCCAGATTTCCACACCATCTTCACTATGAAAAATTGTGAGTATATCAATCCCCACAGAACCTAAGCAATGGAAGGGTGTTACTAGCCACCTCTTTCTATCTTTTAAAGAATTGTTTGTAAAGTTCTTTTTCAATAAATTCTATTTTAAAGTCAAACTAGTGTCACCATTCTTTTCAAGTTCAACATGCTTTCTGGAATTCTACATGGGCCACCAAGTCTCTACAGTCTGAACGAACACCTCCTGTCTCGGCCAGCTGCTCTGCTGCTGGAAGAAACGAGAGCAGGAACCTCTCCGACCCCCACGGCCACAGGACCAAGTCCCAGTGTGCGAACCAAGGCCACTCCGCGCTCTCTCTCCCACAGGCCCTGCTCTCCAGCAGCAGCCCTAGTCATCACTCCAGCGACTGGCGCTTCCCATCCCTAGGCCTGTGGCTAAGGTCACTTCTCTACTGGAATGCCCTCCTCCACCTCCTTGTCATGACCTTTCAACTCATCCTTCCCTCGAGCTCCCCCACTCCTTCAGCTGGCCTCTCCCCTGGGGTCTCCTCTCTATTAAAGTTATCACAGTGTATAGTAACACTTGTCTTACTCCTTAGACTCCTCCACCCTTGAGGGGAGAGGCTATTAATAGCATTCCCCAATTTCCAATGTGTAACCGGAGATTAATTAGAAGGTAGGAGGAATGAACAGTTCTTTCTGAAAGGACACTGCATGCAAACATCCATTTATTTACTCATTTAGTAAATAAAGATTTCCTAAGTGCCAGAGCGTATGAGTGTAAATAAGACAGACGCAGGCCCCAATCTCTACAGTCTAATAAGAGACAAATTTATAAGAATTAAGCAAACAAAATAATTACAAATCCTATATAATAAAAACGTAGATGGTGCTGCATGACATCATCACAAGATGGCCACCCTCACGTTGTCACGAGATGGCGGCAGGGGAAGGTAGTTGGGGGCCAACAGGCCAACAGGGGAGGGCAGCTGGGGGCAACCAGGCCAGCAGGGGAGGACAGTTGGGGGCCATCGGGCTGGCAGGGGAGGGCAGTTGGGGGCGATCGGGCCGGTAGGGGAGCAGTTAGGCGTCAATCAGGCTGGCAGGGGAGAGTAGTTAGGGGGTGATCAAGCTGGCAGGCAGAAGCGATTAGGGGCAATCAGGCAAGCGAGCGGTTAGGAGCCAGCAGTCCCGGATTGTGAGAGGGATGTCCAACTGCCGGTTCAGGCCCGATTCTACTGGGACTGGGCCTAAACCGGCAGTTGGACATCCCCCAAGGGTCCCAGATTGGAGAGGGTGCAGGCTGGGCTGAGGGACACTCTCCCCACCCCACCCCACCCCGACCCCCCCCTCGTGCACAAATTTCGTGCACTGGGCCTCTAGTTATATAATAAAAACTATGAAAGAAACAACCAGTGTGATAAGAACTATGAAGGACAGTGCTATGAAACTAAAAATTAGCAATAGATCTAGAAATAGAAGCTACTGCAGATATGGCAGCAAGCAAAGCACATCAAGATGACACTTTTGTGAGGAAACTAACCACACATGGCACAGGCTGGGAATGAAACCCGCAGCGGCTCTGCGCCCGGGGCCTGAGGGCCCGTGAGGAGGGAGCAGAGAGCAAGGGGGGCTCAGGCAGAGAGGCGTCAGGGGGCAGATTAGGCGGGGCATTTAGGCAGCGGTGGAGGCCTGAATTTCAATCTAAGAGGAAAGGCAAATAATAGTAATAGAACAGTAAAAATAGAAGATTCTAAGCCTGACATGATTCAAAAATATTTTTTATAAATTTTTTTCTTGCTGATGTGTGAAAAATCAATTGGAAGCGAGCCACAACATGCAAAGATCACGTTGCTGGGACTGATTCATTTCAGGCCAAATGAGCCTCGCCTCGCTGCCATCTGGCCAGTGCACATCGCTCTCCGAGAGGCTGCTGTTAAATTGATCGTGCTTCTCATCCCTGTTCCTGTAAGTCAACATCCAGAGTCTAGTTTCTTGAAATCCCATCAATTCTGGGAGAGGCATTATTAATATGCCATTTTATAAGGAATAAACTGAGGTTCAGAGAGTTGACGAAGTCGCCTAAGTCATCCACCTGGCGACCTCTGTTCCCTTCAGCACTGGAGGGAACATGGGGGCTGCTGCCACAGAGAACAGCTACTACCTCCCGCCCTGGAGCCAGGGAGAACCGGGAAGAACAGGATACATGCTGACTACATGGTCATTCAAAGGGGTAAAGAAAAAAAACAAGTAATTACTAAGTACAGTTGTGAAAAAAATATATTTAATTTCAGCAAACGAATACTTTATCATCAGAGGCCATGATCAGACTGTTTCCATTCAGTGGTGATAGATACGCTTAGGCAACACAGGGAACTACAGCCTGAGAAATAAGCTGCTCTTGTTCTCCCAGTGCTTGCAGGGTGAGGTTGCTCATCAATACCCCTCACTAAGCAGAAAGCATCCATTTAATAATGACAAGACTCAAGCAAGCAGAAATACAGCGATGATGAACTTATAGTTGAAATAGCCTAATCTTGAATGTATCCAGTTATTTCAGTGCAAGTAGGTTAACCACCAGAAACCATCCCCGGATTCCCAGGTGACACAGTTATCCTTATGCCAGGACTCCGTCCCTTCCCCAGCCCAAGGAATGACAGCATCAAATCTTAGCTGGGAGTGCCCATCCTCACCTCGTCACCAGCAAAACGAATCTGGCTGCATGTAGCAGAGACGTGGCTTTAGATAACTTCTGCCACTGTCTCAGCTGCAGCTCCCTAAATGCAGGACTCCTACACTGAAGCCACCAGCCTTGCTGATGACCACAACTACTTCAGTAAAATAGTCCTCAGAAGCCTAGGAGCCCTGGCTGGTTTGGCTCAGTGGATAGAGCGTCAGCCTGCAGAGTGAAGGGTCCCGGGTTCAATTCCAGTCAAGGGCACATACCTTGGTTGCAGGCTCCTCCCTGTGCAGGAGGCAACCAATTGATGTGTCTCTCTCACATCAACATCTCTCTCTGTCTTTCCCTCTCTCTTCCACTCACTAAAAATCAATGGAAAAACATCCTCGGTGAGGATTAAAAATAAATAAATACAAAAGAAGCCTAGGAAGAACCCTGAGCATATTATGAAAAACAAAAATATTATGAGCATATCTCCAGCAGAGAACGTTTAAAACACAGCTGATCCTCTTACAAACTATCTCCCTCCTGTGGAAAGATGCATCCAATCCCAGAACCTGTAACAAACCTCACTACCGGAAAAGGATGAACTAAGACCAGGGTACAATCACCCCGGGGCTATACTCACATCACACAAACAGGCAGACACTGTGGTCTGTAGCTGAGACAGGGAGACTGGAGAGTGAGTCAGTCCTTGGGCCTGATCAATTCTGCATGACAAGGAATGGGGCTAAAACTGAGTCTCTGTAAGAATAAGGCTGATGACTGACCTCAGATTATGTTGGGTCAACTTTCAGTCAGCCAGCCCATCTCTATTACATTTCTATCTCTGCACTGTGATTTCAGTAAATATGCCAGCAAGATGTGCTAAGGATGATTTTAAAATCCCTAAGCAAAGAACCTGAGCATAATGGAAACTCATAATTAATTGTTAAAGCAATGAATGAACAATAAGCTTAAAATAGACTCATCATTTTCTCTAAATCAAGTTGCTGAGTTGCAAGGAAGGCAGTGCCTGGAGCTAAAGAAACAGCAAAGTTATTCACAGAAGTGTGCGTGCGCGTGTGCGTGTGCGTGTGCATGTGTGTGTGGTGTGTGCGTGCACAAAAACAGACATACGTACCTGCACTCAAGGCAACACCAGTGCCGCGGTGGCCAATGGACATCGCCATGGGAAGAGACCAACTGCAAAGAAACATAAAAGCAACTGAAAAAAGGAAAAGATGAGCCCTAGCCTGGCCAGTGTGGCTCAGTGGTTGAGTGTTGACCCATGAACCAGGAGGTCACAGTTCAATTCCCAGTCAAGACACATCCCCCAGTTGTAGGTTCATAGGCTCGATTTCCAGTAGGGATTGTGCAGAAGGCAGCCCATCAATGATTCTCTCTCATCATTGATGTTTCTATCTCTCTCTTCCTCTCACTCCCTCTCTCTAAAACCAATAAAAAACATACTTTAGCCCTAACCGATTTGGCTCAGTGGATAGAGTGTTGGCCTGCAGACTGAAAAGTCCCAGGTTCGATTCCAGCCAAGGGCATGTACCTTGGCTGCGGGCACATCCCCAGTAGGAGGTGTGCAGGAGGCAGCTGATCAATGTTTCTCTCTCATCGATGTTTCTAACTCTCTATCTCTCTCCATTCCTCTCTGTAAAAAAAAAAAAAAAACAAAAAAAAAAAACTTAAAAAAAAAAAAAAAGATGAGCCCTAGCCAGTTTTCTCAGTGGTTAGAGCATCAGCCCATGGACTGAAGGGTAGTGGGTTTGATTCTGGTCAAGTGTACGTACCTTGGTTGCAGGCTCTAACCCGGCTCCAGTTGGGGTGCATGTTGCAGGCAACCATTGATATGTCTCACATCGATGTTTCTCTCTCTCTCTGTCTCTACCCCTCCCTTCTACTCTCTATTAAAAAAAAGCCAACAGGATATTCTCTGGGGAGGATTAACAAAAAAAAAAAGGAGAAGATGACACCACACTAGAGTCCACTCTTGCCAAGAGAACAGAAACCACTGTGGAAACAGGCAGTATTTAAACAGAAACAATCAGCTTTCACATTCATGTGTGTCCACGTTCTCGTTTTTAAATAAGAGCACTGATCTCTTTAAGCAGCAGCCTTCCCTTTGACCAGACTGTACCACTGACGGAGCTGAAAAGAGGCATGAATGGCAACGCAAGCACCTCCTTTCATGAAGAGAAGCAACAAGGTCAAACACACTAATAAACCTGCACAGTTAGGAAATAGTCACTAGAATACAACCCCGGGGCCTTCCGTTTCTCCAGGCATAAAACTGAAGTAGAAGGAAACCTAAGTGAGATTTATTTATCCACTGTTTCATATAATATACAACCATCCTTGAACTCCTGTTTTTTTAAATTTTATTTTCAGTTATAGTTGACATACAACGTTATGTTTTCATTAATGCTTAGTGAGAAAGGGAGAGGGAGAAAGAAACAGAAATTGGCTGCCTCCTGCACGCAACCTGGGCATGTGCCCTGACTGGGAATCGAACCGGTGACCTCTTGGTGCATGGGAAGATACCCAACTGAGCCACACCTGCCGGGCTAAAATTTTTTTCTAACATCCTTTTGAAGAACTCATTTTCTCCTGATAGCTTAATCCCTATATACACTTTTGCTTTGATAAACTGACTCAATATATTGAACTAAAGAGTGCTTCAGAAACTGCTAACTCAACCATTTACTTCATGCCTCCTCCAAAAAAACTCCAGAACTTAGAAATAGGAACTATGACTCCAGACTTCTTGGGCGTCTTTCCCAGACATGTCACCTTGGAGACAGCCCCTGTTCACTGCTATTTCTCTTTTGTCCACAAGTGTGTCTAGAATTTCAAAACAGGACAAACGGACAAGACTCACCTCACCAGCCCACTACATTTGTTGTATGACCCATGAAGAAAGGCCAGGGCTTTAAATATAGATTCAGAATAATTTGAAGAGTTCTTTATCATTATAATCCTCCCCCAAATCTTTTATGTCTTAAGAAAAAGTTTCACCATAAAGTAGTAAGGATTGAGATCACTTATCAGTATCCTTCTGTTTTAATATTGGACATTCGTCCAATTTCTGCAATCAGAACTATTTCTGGAATCCGGCTTGGGAAAGTCTGAAGGGCTGTGGTATGTGTGGAGGTGGCTGAAGAATGGCCAGGCTCCCTGGCAAGAACACAAGGAAAGAGGGCAGCAGCGCTCAGGACGCTGCACTGGGTTAGCCAGAAAGGAGATCTTCGGGAAGACACTGGCATTACAGCTATCAGTGCTACTTCTGAGGACACAGATAACAGACACACATGTACATGCATGCTGTGTGTGCACACACGTGCCCTAGCTCTATCTACTGACAGGGTCTAGAAGCAAGGACAGCTGGTAGCAATGAGCACATCTAGCATCATGATTTCACAGGCCCACCCTGAAGAATGCCCACTGGCCAAGTCTGGAACAACCTCAACATCAAAACAGATGAGCGCAACAGTGTAACCCTATGGGCATCTACCTACCTCTACCTCTCCTCTCTGCTCTGGTTCTTGAAACAGAGCACCTAAAACCTTACTATCGCCGAAACCGGTTTGGCTCAGTGGACGGAGCGTCGGCCTGCGGACCGAGGGGTCCCAGGTTCGATTCCGGTCAGGGGCATGTGCCTGGGTTGCGGGCACATCCCCAGTGGGAGATGTGCAGGAGGCAGCTGATCGATGTTTCTCTCTCATCGATGTTTCTAACTCTCTATCTCTCTCCCTTCCTCTCTGTAAAAAATCAATAAAATATATTTAAAAAAATATTTTTAAAAAAAACACAAAAAACCTTACTATCTCCCGAGTAGCAGGGCGCCAGGAGCATCTTTTGTCCTAACATTTGGTCTTCGACCCTGGCTCCTGACCCACAGTCCCTAAATCCATTGGAATTTCCTGGGTGATAAGAGCATCCTTTGTTCTAATGAGGGGACTCTGGATGTGGGCTGGTCACCATAAAGACCAAACCATGATTAGAAGCTTGGAACTTTCAGCCCTCCCCCACCTTCTTCCAGGAAGGGGGAGGGGCTTGAGGTTGCATTACTAAATGATCATGCCCATATGATGAAGCCTCCATGGAGAAGGTGTTTTTTTTTTTTTTGGTTTTTGTGTGTGGGTTTTTTTTTTTTGCTGTTGTAGTTAATCCTCACCCAAGGATATATTTCCATTGACTTTTAGAGAGAATGGAAGGGAGGAAGAGAGAGAAAGGAACATCTATGTGAGAGAGACACATCAATTGGTTGCCTCCCGCAAGTGCCCTGACCTGGGGCTGGGGATTGAGCCTGCAACTGAGATACATGCCTTTGACCAAAATCGAACCTGGAACCCTTAGGTCTGCAGGCCAACGCTCTACCCACTGAGCCAAACCAGCTAGGGCTGGAGAGTTTTTAGGTTTAAATACATCTTCAGGTCAGGAACTATATACACACAGGAACCGATATCATTTGTAATATCCTTTATAATAAATGAGTTCATGTAAGTAGACGTTTCCAAGTTCTGTGAGCCCAAATCACTGAACCCAAGGCAGGGATCCTGGGAAGCCAACTGATCCTGGCCAGTAGAATACAGGTCTCAACCTATGTGAAGTGGGGCAGTCATGTGGGACTGAGCCCTAACCTGTGGGGCCTTCGCTAACTTCAGACAGTTAGTGTCATACTGTCAGGTAGGTAGTGTTCAGATCACAGAAGGTCCAATTGGTGCCCAGAATTGGAAAACTGGTTGGTGTGGGGGAAAACCCTAAACATTGGTGACATTGAGAAGAAACTGTGTTGTTTTCTTTTTGGTTTCACAAAAGTGGAGGAGCTATGAATGAGTTTTTCCTTTTACGAATCCTTGAGTCTGTACCAATGAAGAAAGCAAGCCTCACCCTAGTAATAAATGAATCGAGAAGGTATGATGGAATTAGAAAAACCACTGCTTGGCAACCATCATAGTAATAACGATTCAGGTGGGTAAAAGTCTGGTGAGAAATAGAGTATTTATAGCCTCAGGGTATCTCCCCACAAACTCAGTATTAATAACACAAACCTAGCAGACACATCTTAATCTATGATGCAAGTCTGCATCAGCAGTAACGGACTAAACCACCAGGTGCCTCCCAGAAACATAGATTAAGAGCACATCATCTCTCAGAGGTAGTCCTGCCCATAATGTGTAAATCACAAGAATGCGTCAGACAAACCTAAAATAAGCAACATTCTAAAAATGTCAAGGTCATAAAAGATAAGGAAAACTAAAAACTGTTCCATCCTGAGGGAGGTTAAAAAGACCACTGAGCAATACACGGCCTGGTGGGGTCGCGGACCTACATATGGGACATCACTGGGACAACCAGCAAAATATGTGTGGAACCTGATGATTGGATGCTGACTGGATCAATGTTAACTTTCTTTTTTTTTAAATGATTTTATTGATTTTTAGAGAGACAGGAAGGAGAGGGATAGAGATAGAAACATCAATGATGAGAGAGAATCATTGATCGGCTACCTCCTGCACGTCCCCTTCTAGGGTTTGAGCCCAAAATCAGGCATATGTTCTGACTGGGAATCAAACAGTGTTCTCTTGGTTTTGGGGTCGACCCTCAATCACTGAACCACGCCAGTCGGGTGTTAACGTCTGGCTGGGATGACTGCACAATGAAGAGTCCTTGATTTCAGGAAGCACATACGCAAGTATTAAGGGACAGTGGAAGGCAGATAACAACCTCCCTAGTATTGTAGGACTGCAGACCAAGCTCACCTTCAGATAAGAAGGCCGCCCTGGATGATCTGGATGGGCCCAATGTAATTGCAAGGGTGGCAGAAGAGGACAGTCAGGGAAGAATGTGAAATGGAAGCAGGTCAAAGTGTTGATGGAAGACGAACTTGACCCATCACTGCTGGTTAGGAAGATGGAGGAAGGGGCCACAAGCCAAGGAATTCAGAGCAGCTGCTAGAAGCTGGAAAAGACCAGGAAGTGATTCTGCCCTGGAACCTCCAGAAGGGACCAGCACTGCCCACACCTTGACTTTAGCCCAGGGAGACGTTGTCAGACTCTGACCTCAGAACCGCTGGATAATCAATGTTTGCTGTAAGCCACAATTGTGCTAACTTGTTACAGATGTAATAGAAACTGCATCATCCTCTCTGCACTTGTTCATTTTTTTTTAAGTAGCACATTTTTAATGTTTTTTTTTAAAATATATTTTTACTAATTTCAGAGAGGAAGGGAGAAAGAGAGATAGAAACATCAATGATGAGGGAGAATCATTGATCAGCTGCCTCCTGCACACCCCCTACTGGATCAAGCCTGCAAACAGGCATGTGCCCTGACCAAGACTGAACCAGCAACCTCTTGGTGCATGGGACAATACTCAACCACTGAGCCACACCAACCAGGGTTGCACTTGTTTTAAAGCCCTCAGAAATATTGACACCTTGTGAATCCCATTTAAGGTATACTTGAACTCTGTGTACTATTTCTGCAACATTTAGGCAAATTTGAAATTGCTTCAAAATAGTTTGTAGTTTTTTTTTTGATGGACAACATTTTGACTTACCAGGACTTTCCAAATGGGAGCTCTGTAGGATAGATTACCCTTATAAGCCCAAAAGATAGAATTTAGCCATCTACATATATAAAAGGCTAATATGCAAAGTGTCTCCTTGAGAGCTCAACCCGGAGTTCGATGATCGCTTGCTATGACAAGCACTGACCACCAGGGGGTGGCGCGGAACGAAGGAAGGCCCTGGCCAGCAGCCGGAAGGCCCCACTCAGCCCCTATCGCAGGCCAGGCCTAGGGACCCTACCCATGCATGAATTTTGTGCACCCGGCCTCTAGTCTTTTTATAAAAGGCCTGAGGGAAATAACCAGGGAGGCCATGGGCCAGTCCAGCACTTTCGCCCCCACCTGCTAGGTTCCCTGGTCCCAGAGCCCTTACCTGTAGATAGTGATATGAGGAGACAGAGGGCGGTTTGAACCAGCATTCTTACTCCAGAATCTCTCCATCTCTTCCTTGGCTGAGGTTCCCAAAGGAACAGCACTAAAATGAAACCAGAAGGTTTTTAAATATATTTCTTTATTGATTTCAGAAAGGAAGGGAGAAGGAGAGAGAGAGAAACATCAATGATGAGAGAGAATCATTGATTGGCTGCCTCCTGCACACCCCACACTGGGAATGGAGCCCACAACCCAGGCATGTGCCCTTGGCCGGAATCGAACCTGGGACCCTTCAGTCAGCAGGCCGATGCTCTATCCACTGAGCCAAGCCGGCTAGGGCAAACCAGAAGGTTTTTAAATGATTAAAAGTAAAGTTGGTTTAAAAAATAAAAAAGTAAAGTTGGTTTAAATTTTTTTATATAACAAAAAGTTAAAAATCAAAAAAGGTAAGTTGGGCTGGATGAAACACTGTATAAGGAAAACATGTTCAACCACTCACCTTATCTTTATGCCAAGTTTGACTCAGTTATTAATACCCTCAACCACACAATGAGGTTATATCAGAGGATAATCTTCTTCTCATCCCCCCACGCCCAGGTCCACCAACAGAAGCTCCACTGCTTTGTGTTTGGGCATCAGGGCAAACATAATATTTCAAAACCATTTACATAAATGGATTGCCCTTTTCCCAGGCCACACGTGCTGCCTCACACATTCTCACCTGCTCAACTGGCTCAAGATTCCCTATCAGGTTCACAAAAATCAAGAACTGCATTCAGCTCAGTGCCTCTAATGAGTTTCTTGGTTTCCCTTGTCACTGGGCTGAAACTAACAGTTAAACAGCTATGTCAACAGCATAACTGATTATGTGCCTACACTTAGCATGACTCCATCCCCCTCAGAGAAGTATCTTCCCAGAGATTACGTACTAATTACAAAAGAAAAAAACAGTACCTGCAGATTGGAAAAGTCTAGCAGACATTTCCTTATTCAAATGATCAAAGTTGAAATCACTGATAATAAGACAAATGGCCTCATGTGCCCCTCTTCCAATTTACGGAGGCTGCACACATCACTCACATTCTCCTCCTGCCAGGAATGGGTAACCTGACTACTCATAGGGCAATCAGACAAGCCCAACCTGGCAGACACTCCTCAAAGCAACTGGCCCTTATCCTTCAAATTGTCGATGTCATAAAAGACGGAGGCTAAGAAACAGTTCCAGATTCAAAGACACTAAAGAAACATGACAACCAAATACAATGCATGAGATCCTGGATGGGAACAGGCGAACTAAATTTCTATAAAGTACATTATTTGGAACAAATAGAAAATCTGAAAATGGACTGTATAGTGAATAAACGTATATCAATGTTAAATTTCCTGAACTGATCGTTGCACTTGTATAATTATACCGTGTTATATAAGATCATGTTCTTGTTCTTATGAGTAGTTACAAGTAAAGCGTCACGATCCCTGCAACTCAATTGCAAAGAACTCAGAGAAAATGATAACGAAAATTAAATATATAATGAACCACATTAAATTACCAATATTAGACCAGGTTAGACCTACGGAAATACCAATTTCACATGGCACAACCTAAAATATACAGTATACAGACCTTCACTGTATTAGTCTTCAAACTTTTCTGAATGTACATTTCCAAAATTAAAAGTTAAAAAAAAAATAACAGAGGCAACTGTTGAAGTCAATAGACTAGAAATGAATATAGCAGAGAAAAATATAAAAATTAATTCCTGCCCGAAATTAAAGTTTACAAGAAAAAAAAAAAGCATTAAAGAAAGACTAAACAGAAAATAATTAGTTATCAAGGAAGGAATCAAGAATTGGATTAAATCAATGGAGTTAAATACAACAGAAAAGCTGAAAGTGAGGAAAATTTTTAAAAGACCAAAGAAATACTCTTTAAAAAAAATTTGATTTTACAGAGAGGAAGGGAGGGAAAGAGAGAAACATTGATTGGTTGCCTCCTGCATGCGCCCCAACCTGGGACTGAACCCACAATCTGGGCATGTGCCCTGATGGAAATCAAACCCACCACCTTTTGGTGTACAGGATAACACTCCAACCAACGAAGCCACATCGGCCAGAATCCAAAGAAATATTTTTTTTTCTTTCCTTCCACTACAAGATGAGAAAAATAGTGACCTCAATCACTGTATTTTCAGCCAACCATGTACAATGTCTTGCTTTCATATGTATCCCCAAAATCTAAGCCAAAAATCTATTGCTTTTCCCTAAGGGAGAAAAATTAATACTATATCCACAGCCCTGGCTGGTTTGGCTCAATGGGTGGAGTGTCGACCTGTGGACTGAAGGGTCCCAGGTTTGATCCCAGTCAGGGGCACATGCCCAGGTTGGGGGCCCAACCCCCAGTGGGGGGCGTGCGGGAGGCAAGTCGACCAATGGTTCTTTCTCATCACTGATGTTTCTATCTCTTTCCCTCTCCCTTCTTCTCTGAAATCAATAAAAATAAATTTTTAAAAAATAATAATATCCACAAATTTAGAAACTTACTTTCTGATACAGAGCCGAGGACTGAGGTGGCCATGGAGGCAATAACGGCCAACAGGTCTGCAAGACAAGAGAGCCAGAGTCAATGCACACGCAGGACCCTCCCAGAGCCTTCTCTGCTTCCGCGCTGTATAGACTTCGGGGTTGAGGGGAAACTTAAACATAACATGGAAGCAATGATAGTATCAGTGTCCTTGAGATTATGTTCACAAATCTCACTTACAAATGCAAAATAAAGTTTTGGCTAAACACAACACAAAGTAGAAAATGATCAGTGTATAAAGAAAGTGACTTTTTAAGTTAGGTCTTAAAGGAGGTGATGGTTGAGACATGAGTTTTTTAAAAAATTAAAAAAAAAAAAAAACAAAACAGGGTAAGCCCCTGGCAACTCCCAGCACACAGCTGAGCTACCAGCGACCCCTCTGCAAGAAGAGGGTTAAGAGGTGGAGACAGGGGTCTGTGCAGGGAGGGCCCTAAATACTAAGTTCTCATTAGGAAGCACATCAAGTTCCTAACAACCTGGATGAACTCCAAGTCAAAAGTCTCCTATGACACTGCAAAAATATGGGAACACAAAGCCTTCTCTACTACCTGCAGGGCAGGTACTTGAAGAGGACACACAAGTTTTCTACTAAAAAAAGCTGCTACATTTCAAGTCTGAGACTAAAATGTGCCCAAACATGCTACCTGAAGAGGAACTGCACTGACCCAGGGTTTACACAGTATGATGACTACACCCTTCACTCACCTTGTATCAAATCTTTCCAAAAGCACTTAAGAAAGTTATCAGAATGAAGCTCTGGGACTAAAATGTAAATACACTGACTCTGCAGAGGTTCACTGTGTCTCCACTATGTCAAGGCACCAAAGGGATATGGATTTATCAAGACCCCGTGATCTAAACAAGCTCACGATCATCCGCCCTTTACTGAGAGGAGATGCATCAACATTTCAAGAACCTCATTCTTACACTAGGAAACGAGAAGGACCCATAACGTGAAGGACAAATAATCCAACCAACACTTCCTTCAGCTCTTCCCTCTTTCCAGCTTTGGAGGCAAGAGGTGAATACGGACATTGTGTATCCAAGGCTCCCAGAAAGAAAGAAGTGGGAACAAATCTCTTTCAATTGAAGTAATTGTGACTCTGAAGCTGCAGGGCTCGCATTCCTCACACCAGGCGAGTCCAGTCCCTCGGCCCCCCAGCAAGAGCTTGCAGATGTGGGCTGGAATCTACAGCCTCTCTCTTTCTAGTGCTATTGTTTCCCAGACAAATACCAAAGTCAACTTTCCACAGGCTCTAACAGAAACCAGTTGCACAAACGCCGTAACTTTATTTGATGTGACAAAAGTATTTATCATCCTTGCCTTTCATGTGAAACCAGAAATTCTGAAAAGATCTTTTCCCACCCAGAAATAGTACTTTACATGTGATAGCTAGAAAGTAATAGTAGTCCTTTCTTTTATTGTTTAATTAACAAGCCTAGGATTATCATCTTTATCATCTCTATTTAGTGTTGTCCCCTTCTAAATGCATTACCCCCAAATGTGATCATTGCTCAAATCATTTTTGCAACTTCTCTGGTTTGGGCAACAACAGCAATGTAGAAAGAACAGTGGACAAAGTAAAAAGCCCGATGGAGTTCTAGGTCTGTGTAAGTTGTGCAACTTTAGTGCGGCACTGGGCTTCAGTTTCTTCATTTATAAAATGCTATTGATATTACTCGCCTCACTGGTGCTGAGAGGGTTCTATGAGAAAATATACGGGAAGCATTCTCTGAACTGTAATGTACCACATACATGGAAGATACTAATATTTCATTGGTCTCCCCAAGGTCTTTAGAGTTTGCATCATATTCTATTTAAAACCCTCAGTGGTGATAAAAATATTTGTCTGCTGAAAATGAATTTGAATTTTTGGAAGAAAAAAGCCCCACAAATTATTCAAAGCCAAGTCCATATGATCAAATTGAATAAAGCTATTTTTCCCCCAAAATAAGATGTGACTATAATATAATGAGTTTCTCTTATATGATCTCTACACTTAATCTGATGTTATGCCAAAATGTTTCATAAATGTCTGGGATAGCAGCAACACTAGATACATGTGTAGCTTTCACATGCAGCCTCAGTGAAAAGCAATCACGGATGCACAAAAGTTCTGATTTCTGGTTATCAGCCCACAACTAACTCCCAAGCTACAATGCAAGTCATCCTTGATTTCTTCTTTCCTCACACCCCCCCCCCCCACATATATGCAAGGCATACAAAGCCTACCAACACCATCTAGAAACTTCAGTCCACTGCTTCAGTCCGCATCCTCTTCATTTCTCACTAGGAGCTCCATCACAGAAGCTCCTGCACTATCTCCCTAGCACCATCTCTTCCCTATCGTTCAGAATTACCAGAGCTCACTTACTAAAAAACAAAGCTGATTCCACTGCTTTTCTGCCTAAAAGTCTTTAACTAACCATTTCCTACTGCTTATAGTTTAAGGTTCCTACTGTGGCCAAACAAGGCCCTTCTCAGCACTGCCCAATCCAATCTCTGGACCTATTTTTCAACGAATTCCCTTTAGCCCTATACTTTCTCCACACTGGATGCTACATCACACCCTCATGGCGCAACCCCTCTTATGACCACATGCCTTTGCTCTGACTGGAACCTCCCTTATAGCCTGATAAACTCATCCTTCAAAACCCAGTAATCCCTAGGTGGCAACTTCACCATTTCTTTCTTTCTTCTTATAAAATACTAGAGGCCCAGTGCACGGATTCATGCAAAGGGGAGGGGGGGGTCCCTCAGTCTGGCCTGCGCCCTCTTGCAATTCAGGACCCCTTGGGGGATGTAGCAGTGCACCAAGCGGCAGGCAGCCAGGGAGGAGCCCAAGCTGGGCACCATGCCGCTCGCTGTGCCTGCCACCGCCACTTGGGAGCACTGCCAAGGAGTCGAGAGGGGCTCCCGCTGCCGCAGCTGCACTAACCAGCCGTGAGCCCGGCTTCTGGCTGAGTGTCGCTCCGGGAGCACACTGACCACCAGGGGGAAGCTCCTGCATTGAGTGTCTGCCCCCTGGTGGTCAGTGCGTGCCATAGCGACTGGTCAACAGGTCGAAACAACCGCTTAGGCTTTTACATATAGAGATGTTTTTATTGATTTTTTTTAAAATATATTTTATTGATTTTTTACAGAGAGGAAGGGAGAGGGATAGAGAGTTAGAAACATCGATGAGAGAGAAACATCAATCAGCCGCCTCCTGCACATCTCCCACTGGGGATGTGCCCACAACCCAAGTACATGCCCCCGACCGGAATCGAACCCGGGACCCTTCAGTCCCCAGGCCAACGCTCTATCCATTGAGCCAAACCGGTTTCGGCTATTGATTTTTTTTAGAGAGGAAGGGAGAGGGATAGAAACATCGATGAAAGAGAAACATCATTTGGATGCCTCCTGCACACCCCCCACTGGGAATTGAGCCCACAACCTGGGCATGTGCCCTGACTGGGAATCGAACCAATGACCTCTTGGTTCATGGGTCAACACTCAACCACTGAGCCACACCAGCTGAGCAACTTCACCATTTCTTTAGCCTTACCTGCTATACTTGTCAAGAGCCCACACCACTTGTTCATATCTCTATACCTATTATGACGCTACATATCTCTATATCTATTATGATGCTTAATAATTAACCTATTTTTTATCTCCTCTCTAGACTTTGAGCTCAAGGATAGGACTGGAATACTTTGCATCTATACCTCTAAATGTCTGACACATAGAAGAGGTTCAAGAAAATGGTCTGTGAATGAGCATGCTTATTTTAAAAATAATGTTACATATATAGTTAAAACTTGTTTTTGGAGATGTTTCACATGTAGAATCTAATATGATGAGCAATGCCCAGAAGGTTAGTGATTCTTGGTGACTTTGGGCTTCAGTAGCATGAACATGGTCACGTAGAAGCCCAGCTGTTCTCTATCTGCCTTGGCTTCGGCAAGTCATTCCTTAACTGAGCGCCAATGGAGTTTGGGTTACTCTGCTGGCTATCGGTCACTGGCTAATCCATGAACTGCTTAGGAAGTATCTATATATATAAAAGCCTAATATGCAAAGTGTCCCCTCGGGAGTTCAACTGACCAGGAGTTCAACCGCTCGCTATGACACGTGCAGACCACCAGAGGGCGGTGCGGAATGAAGGAAGGCCCTGCCCAGCAGCCAGCAGCCGCTAGGGACCCCAACCATGCATGAATTTCGTGCAGTGGGTCTATATACATAAAAGCCTAATATACTAAGTGTCCAACCGTTCGACTGTTCGCTATGACGTGCACTGACCACCAGGGGTCAGACGCTCCCACTGATAAGTTAGCTTGCTGCTGAGGTCCAGACAATCAGGGCTTGGTGAGAGGGGCTAGACGTGCCCTGGAGCCCTCCGGGGGTCCCTCCACAGCCAGGCTGAAGGACCCCACTGGTGCACAAATCCGTGCACCAGGCCTCTAGTACAAAATACAGACTATTCAAAAGCCATGACATACAGTATTCTGATAACTAATAATATTTAACCAAGTATTAAAAATGTTTAAGCAATATTCCTCTTCAGTGGGCCCAAGTTATTACTATTTTCATTCACAAATGAGGAGTCCATAATCATGGAACCAATGACCTTGACTTGTTCCAAATAAAGTAGTGACACTAGAAATCAGTTCTAATTTCTTAGAAGGTATTTTCTTTGGGTTAAATCAGCACATTATAAACAGTTCCAAGTTCCTCTAGTGAAGTGAGTTAGAACTAGAAATTCATCAGGAATTTTTTTTAATTTAAAGAAAACCTTCTATAAAACCCCTGTGAGACATTATGCTAAGTGAAATAAGCCAGTTAGAGAGAGACAAATATCCCATGATCTCACTCATTTATGGAATACAATGAACAACATAAACTAATTAACAAAAAACAGATCCAGAGACAGAGAAGCACGGATCAGACCGTCAAACCCCAGAGGGAAGGTAGGGGAGGGTGGGGGTACGGGGAAAGATCAGCCAAGGACTTGTGTGCCTGCATATAAGCCTAACCAATGGACACAGACAACAGGGGGGAGGGCATGAGTGGGGGAGGTCAGGGGGGTTATGGTGGGATATGCAATACCTTAATCAATAAAGAAATTTAAAAAAAAACAACAACCCTGTGAGAAAGGAACAGAGAAGTGCCCCTCCTATGAAAGCCTCGGACTGCCACTAATGAAAAAGTCGACTTCTTGGCATGGAATCCTGGTGGTGACAGTCCTACAGAACTGAAGATGATGATGTCTAAACACAGTTCATGAGGATAATGATCCTCAGCTTCTAAACCTGATCTTGAAACTCCTAAAATGAACTGTTTAGAAATGATCATTTTAAGCTAAATGTTAATTCCACCACTACCAAAGTATGATATATCAAAGAATCCAAAAGCATTCAATTATGGAGGCAATTCTGGAAAGAATGGGCAAGGCACAGCTTAGGGGAAAAGGGCTCAACTATATATATAAGAGCCAAGCAATCACAACTCCCCCTGGACCTGTGGCTGTGACGCACACGGCGAAGGCCAGTCTCCGGATGGGGCCCCAACGGCCCCCCAACCTCCCGCCCCCCTCAGCCTCCGCAGCCCCCCGCCCCACTGCCCTATGGGCGGGACCCCACCCCTGCAGGAATTGGCGCACCAGGCCTCTCGTGTGGAAATAAGAGGCAGGGAGGAAAATAAAGGACTAAGATGACTCATTCCTGATCTCAGCTCCAAAAGGAGTCATTTTGTCAACAGAGAGAAACTAAATAAAGTCTATTTTTATACTGGGTGACTTAAGTGGAAAGAGAAATGAGACATTTGGGTAAATCGGGAATTAAATCTCAACGGCATTAAAGCTAACTTTCTGTAACAACTAGTGTCCAACAATAGGGCTGGCACAAAGCCACCGGGGATGGACCCAGGAGAGTGCAGCGGCCGGAGCACCATCCAGGCAGCTGGGGGGGGGGACGGCGGCGGCACCCGGGGGGGGGGGGGAGCACCGTCCAGGAACCCCGCCGGGGGGGGGGGGGGAGGAAAACCACACGATGACTCTTGAAAAAAAAGGAGTATACGGAAAATAAAATGCACCTCTCCTCTGAAAAAGAGTGAGAGAAAACTTCCTTTCCCCCACCACGGAGGCAGCGGTTCCCCTCCCCTGCCCCACACCGGAGCATAAACGTCCTCCCCCCTCCTAAAAGCGTGCCCCCTCCGGGAGGGAGTTGAAATCCGGGAGGGGAGATAAGCACCGAGGGGTCTCCCTAGGCCCTCTCTTTTTATGATAGGCCCCCCTGCAAAGAAAGGGGGATTTGCTGGCGCCCCCACCCCT